GCCGAGCCGAGCCGCGCCGATTGCCATCCGGCCCCGGCTCCCTCGCGCGATCCCGGCCGGCGGCGCGGCCCGGCGGGCCCGGCGGCGCCGCATCCCATGGAGCTCGAGAACATCGTAGCGAACACGGTGCTACTCAAGGCCCGGGAAGGTGAGGCGGTCGGGTGCGGAGAACGCGGCCGCGCGGCCTCCGAGCTCCGCGGGGAGCCCCAGCCACTGGATCCCCTAGGGCAGCTCGCCCGGCGCCCCGCACCTCGCGCAGACACGAGCCCTTCCGGCCTGTGGTCCTCCTCCTTTGCACCTGCCCCCCGGGAGCAGGAGCCCAGGAAGGGGCGGGGGTCAAGCCGCCGCCCTCGCGGCGGGCGCCAGGGAGGTTGGGGTGAGGGAGTGAGGGAAGAAGAGAGAAAGGAGGAGGGAAGGGTGGGACCTCAGCCCTGGGAGAGCCTCTCAGAGGCCTCGCCCAGGTGAGAGGTAAGAAGATGCCCCAGGAAGGGGTAGCCTACCCCACGTGCCCTGGGCCCCAATTCAGGCGCGCAGCCTGGACCGGCACACAGTTGGTGCAGGGTGAAAGGTTTGGGGAATGAATTAACCGGGGCTCTGCGGCAGTACAGCCCACCTGACGTGGAGAAACTGTTGGTCACAAATGCTACCAGCATGACTGTCACCTGCTCAGTGCCTTAGGACACTGGGGACAGAGGTGAATGGGTCACGATTTTTGCCCTCAGGAAGCCCACAACTAGAGGGGCACAGAAATAATTGGAAGGTGAGCTTTGAAGGAAGAGAGCATGCCGGGCTGGTGGGACTGTTAAGTACAAGCCTGACAGAGGGAGCCAGTCTGGTGAGCCTAGTGTCAGTCAGCTTCTCAGACGGTATCAGTAACTGCTCTGAGGGTCCTGGGGACACAGAAAGACCAAACCTGGTTCTTCTGCCTTGTGGTCAGTCTGCTCCTCATCTGCCATTGTCCACCTCAGTAATATAATCACCAAACACCTACTCTGTGCCCTGTCCTGTTCAGGGTGCTAGGGACCAGCAGAGAAGAAGACATTTTTTGGATCTCTAGGGCAGGGAGGTCAGGACAGTTTTTCTACACTTTGCTGAGCTTCCAGGCCGAAAAAGCCATCTGCTTCATCTTTCTGCCCCATTTTACAAGTGGGAAACTGGGCACGGATCAGGGACTAGTCCCCAGATCACACAGTGAGACTGGCTGACCAGGCCTGGGACACAGGATTCCCCCAATCCAATCTGTAGGAAGCCCAGAGAAACCCCCAGCTGACACAGCATCTGGTGCCCCTGCCTGCCCAGTGCATGCTGACCCCAGGAAACATGCCCATGCTGCCTGGAAGTGGACATGGCAGTCTGGGTCCTTAGTGCCCAGAGCCTTCCTTATCTCTTGTCTCTTATCCAGTCCTGGTGCTCGGCCTTCCTCCCAGCCTATGGGGGCATCTGCCGATTCTGTTCTGCCTCGTCATTCAGCCAGCCAGGGAGGAGGGGTGGCGAAAGCCTGGCCAGGCCTCCCTCCCTAGGGCTGTAGCCAGTCCTCAGGGCCTGCTGAGAGCACTGACTTGCCTGGCTAGAGAATGTGGGCACCTTCCGACAGGCTTCCTCAGTCTGTGGATGAGGCATAGAGGGTTATGGCGAGATGGGGACCCATGCCTTCAATGGAGAATCCTTACTCCCACCTGGCTCTGCCTCTCCCACCTGCGTGGCTCTAGCCAAGTCTTTTCTCTCTGAACTTCAGTAACTCTTTTTGTGGAATGGTTGGGGATGGGACGTAAAAACTAATGGAAATCCCGATGGTCATGGGTCCTGAATCCTGGTCTGTAGACTGATTACGCCGGAAACTCTGTTTGAGCCTGGGCCCTTGCCACCTTCCCAAGTGCTCTGATGCCCTGAGTGTTTGGGATTGTATGTATTTGATTGACACCTGGCAGATGCCCTGCATGTTTTCGGTGGAAAAGGAGCTTGCGTGTGGTCCCAGGAAGCTGGGTTCGAATCCTGCCTCTGGGACCTCCCAGGCTTTGTGATCTTGGACAAATTGATCCCTCATTTCGGGACCTCAGTTTTCTCATACACTTGGGTCAGGTCTGGCAGAGTTGCTGTGAGGATGAAGTGGGGCAGCCCTGGAGGAATGAACCCTCAGTTAGTCCTTCCTTCCTTTCCCAGACCCCCAGAGGCACAGGGAGGGGACCAAGCTAGGGTGGGGAGGAGCCCTACTGACTCTGGTGGCAGTTCCAGGACAGGATATTTGCATGTGACTCTTCGCTGCTGCCTTGATGTGGCTGGGAGGAGGGAGAGGAGGAAGTAACTGGTGGGGGTAGCAGGCGGATGGAGGGTGGGGTGAGGGACCTGCGGGGGTGGGGGAGGAGTTCCCCTTCTAGGGAGGCCTTGCCGTGGGTGGGGGCGGGGGTCTGTTGCTCACTCACAGTGGAGCAATGACTGTAGGGTATGCTGGGTGCGGGCTGCAGGAGGGCTGCTAGAGGGTTTCCCAACGGGTACCCTGCAGCACTTCCTTCTCCAGGCCACCGAGGTCAGGGAGCCCATCGAAGGACCCGGCCTTGCACCCTCCCTAGAAGGCGGCTCCTCCTCCTGCACCACCTGCCTTCAGCCAGGCCCCATGGAAACAAGGCTGGGTAAACCAGGCGGGAAACTGAGGCCAGGCAAGGGACCCACCTCTTGTCACAGCTCTACCCGGTGCTGGACCCAGACTCTCCCAGTCACCCTCACAATACTTCCAGAGGTGGCTTTGGACCCGAGGTACAGACGGAGAAGTGGAGGTCTCTAGAGGGCAAGTGATGGGCCTAAAGTGTAAAGTGGAGATTCAAACCGAGATCTGTGTGATTCCAAGACTCAGGTCCCTTCCACCATTTTCAACCTCATGGCCCAAGGGCCACATCTGGCTAGCCCTTTGTCATATTTGATTTATTTGGCTGAATGGTTTTTTAAAATTTTAGAAACCAATATTTCATGTAACAGTCCAGATTCTCAGCTGATTTTGAAAAGTCAGAAGAGCTGGCCCCACTGAGCCAGCCATCCTGCCTCGTATCAATCAGGCAATCAGCTACAGTTGTGCTGCAGCTGCCCTTGTTGCAGGGGGCACCGGGTCCCGTTCACCACACTCCCTACCACTCCCTGTTGTCTCCCATCAGACCCACGCTTGCCGTACCTGTCTGGCTCTGTAGGCCTTTGAGCTGCTATCCTGGTCTCAGCGGCTACAGATGAGGGGTCAGCTATCAAGACCAGGAATGCAGGGGTAGGGATCCTGAGGGCCACCCCTCCTGCACCCACTTTGTTTGAGTCTCTGATAGCTCTGATGCAGGTCCCGGAATAGGGGCCTGGAGCCTCCCTGGTGACCCAGGCTGCCTTCTGCCTCTAGCATCGCTCAGGCACGTCCCCTGTGTCCTGGAATGTCTCCCACTTCTGGGCCTTGACTTACACAGTTCCCACCACTGTCGTATCCTTCTCTACTTTCCTCACCTGGGAAACTCCTGCCTGGTAGGAAGCAGCTGAGGCTGGTCGAAGCTACCTGCAAACTACCCTCCTGCAGCAGGGGCGCCCAGGGGACCATGTGTGTTCTGGAAGCCAGTGAGGGCATGCTGGAGCATTTGGAAGGAAGGCCCGAGGTGCCTCCTAGAGCAGGCTGGGCCCTGAAGGCCTCCGAACCACCTGAGGGTGGAGGGGAGGCATGGCGGGGGCGGGACTCGAGACCTAGCGCTTGTTTACTCCCACAGGTGGTGGCGGGAATCGCAAAGGCAAAAGCAAAAAATGGCGGCAGATGCTGCAGTTCCCCCACATCAGCCAGTGTGAAGAGCTGCGGCTCAGCCTCGGTGAGGCCTGGGTAGAGACAAGGCGTGCTGAGGCCAGGGGAGCCTCCCCTGAGACCCGGCCTCCTGGTGGAGGGGCAGCGTTGGGGGTTTCGGGGAGCAGAAAGATTGAAGCTGCACCACCCAACTGGTTTCAGTTCCTGGGCTTGGGGTGGGTGGAGGGCAGAGAGCTCACAGGACAGCAAGGGGCTGTTGGAGTAGGCGTGGGGAGTAGCATGGGGTCAGATATGGGGCGGTGTGACGTGTGACGGAAGCAGTGGAAGGGAGGGCCAGGCCCTGGGTGAGCAGGGCTTGCGGGACAGAGGGCGTGGTGGGGGCTGGAGTCAGCCGGCTGATTGACTGCACTGGGAGCCCCAGGCCTGTGCTCACCCCAACCCAGCCCCGGAGGTGTCCAGCCAAGCCTCGACCTGAGGGCCCAGGCCCCCTCTGACAGCCTGCACGTGGGCCAGGAGTATGCCATGGCTGCTCCCACTGCCGAGAAGGAGGCCTAGCCTTGAGCTCACCGGAAGCCACAGCTTCCTCCCACACTTTCGCCAGGCAAGCAGCAGGTGTGGGCCCAGGCCTGGCCAGAACCTCACAGACCGCACCCAACCCCAGCACTGTGACATATGCAAGTGATGTGAAGCAGGAGTCAGCGGCCGAAAGTGAGGACCCTGGCTCTGGAGCCATGCTTCTGGCTGTGTGACCTTAGGCTAATCGCTTAGCCTCTCTGAGCCCTGGAGTCCCAAGTTGTGATGGCAATAACAATAGTGCCACCTCAGCGCTGTGGTGAGGGTTCTAAAGGACATAGTGGCTACCGTACTGCAGGGCTGGAAGCTGTTGGTGGGGCCCAGGGCCTGGCAGTGCAGACAGGAGTGCCCTGCTGGCTGGCAGGCTCCAGGTCTGGGAACCCAGCAGCTCCCATCTTTGCCCGCAGAGCGTGACTACCACAGCCTGTGCGAGCGGCAGCCAATCGGGCGCCTGCTGTTTCCGGGAGTTCTGCGCCACGAGGCCTGAGCTGACCCGCTGCATTGCCTTTCTGGATGGGGTGGTGAGTGCAGCCCAGCCCAACATCAAGGGTGCACAGAGGTCCCGGGCCACACGTGCCCCAGCTCCCCATACCTGTTGCTTCACCCAAACCCCGAGCTTCTCTGCCTCCTACCCTACAGGCTGAGTATGAAGTGACCCCCGATGAGAAACGGAAGGCATGTGGGCGGCGGCTAATGCAGAATTTTCTGAGCCACACGGTGAGTGAGCACTGATGGAGGGATGACAGCAGTGGGTAGAGCTCAGTGACGGGGAGTGGAATGACCACAGCCTGGGCAGAGAGTGCCCTGGAGCTGCTCCAGGCTCACCAGGCAGCACTGTGGGCACGGAGCCCAGGAGGGTGGGCTGGGGCTCTGGGTGGGGCAGCCTGCCAGCAGCTCTTCTTCACCCTGCTTCAAGGGGAGCTGCAGAGACCAAGTTCAGCAGCTGGGCAGGCTGGTGCACCACCAGCCTGCAGCCACCCGCTAGCACAGGTCCGAGAGCTCTGCCATCTCTGCTCTGGGAGTGGACAGCTGGCCAAGGGAGCCTCCTGTACTGAGCTGTCTGCGGCCTGTCCCCAGGGTCCCGACCTCATCCCTGAAGTCCCCCGGCAACTGGTAACTAATTGTGCCCAGCGGCTGGAGCAGGGGCCCTGCAAAGACCTCTTCCAGGAGCTCACCCGGTAAGCCTCTCCCTGCCCACAGGCTGAGAGTTGTGTTCTGAGGAGGGGACTTCTGTGGACCCAGAAGGCTGTGAGCAGAACAGCAGTTGGTGAGGGAGCTAAGCCTCTCACCTTGGCCTTGCCCTGCTGTGTGACTTTGGCCAGGTTGCCTCCCCTCTCTGTAGCATCCTCAGCTTCAGTATGGGATGCATGTCTCCCACGTAGCTGGGTTAGCAGGAGGGCTGGCCAAGGATGCTGCCTTTCAGGCTGAGCATACACATAACGGGGGGCCTGGCCCATAAAGCTGAGAACCTGGGGTGTCGGCCTGACCAGTGGGCTGGGCATTCTCAATAGGCTGACCCATGAGTACCTGAGTGTGGCCCCCTTTGCCGACTACCTCGACAGCATCTACTTCAACCGTTTCCTGCAGTGGAAGTGGCTGGAAAGGTGAGCTCCTTGAAGGCTGGGCTGAGGTGGGCCAGATTGGGCCAGGGTGCTGGAGTTCTCACGGGCATCAGGCCCCTGCTCGGCTAGCGTCTGTTCCCCAACCCCTTGCCCGCAGGCAGCCAGTGACCAAAAACACCTTCAGGCAGTACCGAGTCCTGGGCAAAGGCGGCTTTGGGGAGGTGAGTGGCCAGGCCAGAGCCCAGCAGAGTGCAGAGGTGGGGTAGGGTGGGCCCTGACCAGCCCCTTCCCCCTCTGAGTCTCTGTACCCCCAGGAAGGGCACAGCTGGTCCCCATTTACCTTATCTACCCTGGCCACAGGTATGTGCCTGCCAGGTGCGGGCAACCGGCAAGATGTACGCCTGCAAGAAGCTGGAGAAGAAGCGGATCAAGAAGCGGAAAGGGGAGGCCATGGCACTCAATGAGAAGCAGATCCTGGAGAAAGTGAACAGTAGGTTTGTAGTAAGTACAGACAGGAGATCCCCCTCCTTCCCCTTGGCCACATGCTGCCCTCCCCACTCACTGGAGTAAGATCTCTTCCCTACCTGACCCGCCCCCCGGGCATGCCCCCCCAGGCACCGCCCCTTCCAGGCACTGCCCCCTCCAGGCACTGCCCCCTCTAGGCTTGGCTGGCTCTCTTACCCTCACAGATGCCTGGGTGGGTTTGAGGTGTTGACACCTGGCCTGAGGAGCAGGCTGGGCCCCAGGGAGTGGCACTGAGGGTTATTCGGGTGGCTGGTGCCAGCCCCACCACCAGGTGGCCCATGGCCCCTGCTTGAGGGCTTGGGTCCCCTTGGCCGCAGGTGAGCTTGGCCTACGCCTATGAGACCAAGGACGCGCTGTGCCTGGTGCTGACACTGATGAATGGAGGTGACCTCAAGTTCCACATCTACCACATGGGCCAGGCCGGCTTCCCCGAGGCGCGGGCTGTCTTCTACGCAGCAGAGATCTGCTGTGGCTTGGAGGACCTACACCGGGAACGCATCGTGTACAGGTGCAGCAGCATGGCCTGCCCTGCCAGGAGCCGCAGCTGGGCATGGGTGGAGGCTGCAAAGGGATGTTGGTGTGCTGGGGCTATCACCACTGGCACAAGTCTTTCTGGGTTCTGGCTTAGGGCTCCACATTCACCCAAGCCAAGCAGACTTGAGAGGCTCAGAACGCAGGCTCTAGGGTCTGGTTGTCTCATGTGTGAATCTTGGCATTGTCAACCCCTTTCTGAGTAGCCACATTTGACAAATAAAAAAATAGTCAGCCACCAAAATGGAGGGAGGACAGAAGCCCCTTGACACTGGTGGTGAGCAAGGCTGCTGGTTTTGTCCAGGAAGTCCCACCCCCTACCCCAGGTGGGAGCTGCCTTCCACTTGGCTAGTGAGTCCTGGCTGAATGGATCCTTTATCTGCTCCCTTGAGTTAGGGCTGCTGCGTCAGGATAGGAAGGGAGGAGGGCAGGTCTGTCTGTCTGGCAGCAAAAGGCTCCTGCACCTAGCTGCACATCCCATCCCAGGAGGCGAGCAAGTTAGGAGGGGGTGGCCCTGTCCAGCTGCCTGGCAAACTCAGCAGCATCTGACCCTGCCCTTCTCTCCCCACAGGGACCTGAAGCCAGAGAACATCCTACTGGATGACCACGGTGAATGAGGGGGCCCCAGGGCAGGGGTGGCAGGGGTGGCAGGGGTGGCAGGGGTGGGGGAGTCTGGTCTACCTGCCTAACAGGACTCCCTGCTTCTCTACCCACATTCAGGTCACATCCGCATCTCTGACCTGGGGCTGGCTGTGCACGTACCTGAGGGCCAGACAATCAAAGGCCGTGTGGGCACCGTGGGCTACATGGGTGAGTCCCCCTCCTCCCTGGCCCACCAGCCTCCTGGGTCCTCTTGCTGTCCTGGGCCCAGTCCCGCCACTTCTGTTGGGCTGTCTCCTGCACCTCAGGGAATAGAGAGAGCCGATGCTTTTTCATAGATGAGGAGACCAAGATTTTACCAGGGCCCGACACACTGCGAAGCCACAGCATTCACTCACTACGTGTGCATTGAGCTCCTCCTGCTGGTCAGGCCTGCAGGTGGCTATCCGTGAAGGACAAGGGACTCACACCTGTTTCCACGGCCCTAGCCCTTGGCTCCCCGGACCTGCCCACATGCCGAATGGGAGTGCCCATCTGTAGTAGGGGCCGAGATGTGCCCCACCTGCCCCTTGGGACTACATGACACAGTGGACAGAGCTCCGGCTATGGGTTCCACTTCTTCCTTGTTTTGTGTCCTTGGGCCAGACATTCTGTTTCTCCCAGCCTTGTAAAGCAATGATCATACCTGCTCCCTGGGTTGCCCTAAGGCACTTTCATCTTTAAAGATGAAAAGAGGCAGTAGAGACAAAACCCCCCACATGCTTGCCCTGTCAGGCAGGGGTATCCAGCAAAGGAGTTGTCTTCTTTCCTCTCTAGAGAGGGAATATTAGAATATTATTTAATAATATTTAATATTAGACTAGTAAGTCCAGAGGTTACAGACTGGTAGCCACAAGGGCCTAATTTCGTAAATTTTTGTTGAAATTTAAAAAAAAATTGTTTTTGAGTAAAGGTAGATTTATTCAGAGAGATACATACTCCATAGACAGGAGTGCAGGCTGTTTCAGAAGGCAAGAGGAAAATATGAAAACAAATATATGTACGTAAATCCATGACTGGGACATTGTGCAGTATACAAGAAATTGACACATTGTAACTGATGATACTTCAATTTAAAAAATCAAAAATTAAAAAAAAACTGGAAAAAAAAGGCAAAAAAAAAGCCACGAGGTGTGGGGATTAGGTGCTTAGTTTAAAGTAAAAGTAGTCAATAAGAAAAAAATACCAAAAAAATAAAATAAAAAGTCACAGAGTATGGCTGTCTCACTCAGAAGCCATGAGTTGAGGGGGTTGTTCATTTTTATGGGCTCAGTAACTTCACATGCTAGAAATCAAATTGTTTTAAAAACAATTTCAGTTGGTCACCGACATTTAGTAACCCAGACAGCTTCACATTAAAAATACGGATTTCTGGGGGGGGAGGGTATAGCTCAAGTGGTAGAGCGCATGCTTAGCATGCATGAGATCCTGGGGTTCAATCCCCAGTACCTCCTCTAAGAATAAAATCAATGAATAAACCTAAATACCTCCCCCCACCAAAACAAAAAAAAAAACAAATTAAAAAAAATACGGATTTCTGACTTCTCTTGAAAAATCATTAGCCCTAGGTCCTTGCTGGGCCGCATTAGCTCCTTTTGATGGGGTGTGTCTTCTACTCACCTCAGTCCCCACCAGGCCACCGACGGTGCCTGCCCGGCTGGAGCCGGTGGGTGTTTGAGCTGGTCCCCAGCTTTGACCTGCGAGCTGGGCATTCCCGGGGCCCCAGGGCTCGGTTCCTCCTTATGCGTGGTCTTTACTCCTGTGCCTTCCCGCCCAGCCCCAGAAGTGGTGAAGAACGAACGGTACACGTTCAGCCCAGACTGGTGGGCGCTAGGCTGTCTCCTGTACGAGATGATCGCGGGCCAGTCGCCCTTCCAGCAGAGGAAAAAGAAAATCAAGCGAGAGGAGGTGGAGCGGCTGGTGAAGGAGGTGCCCGAGGAGTACTCCGAGCACTTTTCCCCGCAGGCCCGCTCGCTATGCTCCCAGGTACGCTCTGCTCTCAGGTACGGTAGCCAGCGGGAACCCCCACCGGCTGGGGCTGGGGCTGGGGCTGGGGCCGGGGCCGGGAGCGCCTCTCCCAGGGCTACCTTGACCGCCCCTGCCCTGCCGCAGCTCCTCTGCAAGGACCCTGCCGAGCGCCTCGGGTGTGGTGGGGGCGGCGCCCGCGAGGTGAAGGAGCACGCTCTCTTCAAGAAGCTGAACTTCAAGCGCCTGGGAGCCGGCATGCTGGAACCACCCTTCAAGCCTGATGTGAGTGCAGCCTACTCCTGCGGGGGGCGGGGCCACGCCCAGGAGGGTGGGGCGGGAGAGGCTTGGGAGCTCCGCCTACTCCGGCGGAGGGCGGGGCAAGCCCGGGAGGGTGGGGCGGGGAGGCCTGGGAGCTCCTGGAGAATTGGTCAGGACATCCTCGGTGCAAGTTTCAGAAAACTCAAGTGGTTTAGCCAACAAAACAGGATTCACTGGACTCATAAGAATGAAAAGCTCTGGGGTTGGATATAGCTCAGTGGTAGAGCGAATGCTTAGCATGCATGAGGTCCAGGTTCAATCCCCAGTTCCTCCATTAAAAATAAGAGGGGGCAGGGGAATGAAAAGCCCCAGGATAGGTCTAGCTTTTGGCATACTGGATCCGGGGCTCCAACAATGTTATAGGAATTCTGTCTTCCTCTCCCTCCCTACTACTGGTCAATGTGCAATTGTCTCAGGCAGCTGTCCCCTCAGTGTGGCATGCCTACACCCTAACAGCTCAGCCACCCCAATATTGCCCCTTGCCCAGTAATTTCAAAAGAAGTCCTAAAGGGGAAAAAAAAGGCCTAAGGCTGATGCTCATTGCCTCTGATTGTTCAGAGGCCCCTCAGCAGCCACACCTGGATCATATGCCCACCTGAGCCACAGCCAATGAGGGCGATCAGTTCCCCAAAGGGAAACCAAGATGCCTTGCCAGCAGGGAGAAGGGCTATTGGTCTGGCAGAATATCTGCTGCCCACCGCTCCTGGCAATGCTGACCTCCCATCTGTGGGTAGGATGTTCCCTGCTGCAGAGTCTCACTCATTTACTGAGCATCTCAGTGGGTCAGGCAACCTACTGGCAGAAACGTCCTTGAGTCATCTGACTCCAAGTGGCAGAAACCCAACTCAAACTTAGGCCCAAAATGGAGCTTATTGGTTCATTTGGCCAGAAAATTCCAGAGTAGGGCCAGTGTCAGGATGTCACACTGTGTTGCCAGGACTCCGTCTCTTGGCTCTTGCTTCAGCTTGTTGACTCTTCTCCCACTGAATTCAGGCTTCTCTGTATAAAGTCATAGGGAGGGTTCTGACTGGCCAAGATTAGGTCATGTGCTTGGCCCGCCTTCATGTGTAAGGGAACTGAGTCCTGTGATTGACAGTTCACCCAAAGCACTGGGGAGGCAGGAATGTGATGGATAAAACAGGTTGGTGGCTGTCAACCGCACATGTGGTTCTTTATTCATTCAACAAATACCTGAATACCCATATGCGCCAGACCTCAGAATGAATAGGGTCAACAGGACCCAGTCCTGCCTTCATGTTCTAGTGGGAAGACATAGCAAAATAAACCAGAAAGTGAAAAAGGAATGGTGGGGCATGGGAGTATTTTTAGACAGGATAGTTTCTGAGGAGCTGATGGTTAAGCAGAAGCCTAAAGTATGTGAAGGAGAGAGCCGTGCCAAGATTTAGGGTGTGAGCATTCTGGGGAGAAGGAACAGCCAGGCATTGAGGTCATGGTGCAGGGACCAGCCTTGAGAGATGGAACAGCAGTGAGGAGGCCAGTGTGGTCGGAGTGAGCATGTGCAGGGAAAGAGGCTCGCGGTCTTATGCTAAGTGTGTCGGGGGTCTTTGGGGAATGTGGAGTGGGCATGCGAGATGTGGGGGGTGGACAGTAGAGCAGAGGAATGGGAGGACATCTGGGGGCTGCTTCCTCTGAAGGATTGTGTCATGTAGCTGGGCCCCACCAGCACCCCGAGGTTTTGGCCTTGCTGTGGGCAGTTGAACTGAGAGCCTGACTTCCGGGCAGCCTGCCTTGGGGCTGGCGCTGCCACTCAAGTTGACTCCTGCTCCCTGTGCACCTCATCTCATTTGACCTTGAAATCTTCCCAGTGCCCCTCTGTCTTTCGTTCAAAGTTAGAAAATCAGTGGCCTGGAGTTTTAACTTTTAGAAGCAGCAGACGAAAAGCATGCTTGATGATAACAGTTTTTAACAGCTTTATTGAGATTTCATTTACATACCATGCAACTCACTCCTTTAAAGCATATAATTAAATGGTTCTTGGCATATTCAGAGTTGTGCAACCACCACCACAATCAATTTTAGAACATTTTTATTACCCCTCCCCCCCCAAATCCCCATGCCCACCATACCCATTAGCAGTCGCTCCCCATTCTCATCTCCCCTGGTCCCTGGCAGGCACAAATATACTTTTATGTCTATTAGCCTATTTGGGACATTTCATATTAATGGAATTATACAATATGGGGTTCTTTGTGACTGGCTTCTTGCACTTTGCATAATGTTTTCAAGGTTCACGAGTGTCGTAGCATTTATTGGTATGCGTTCCATTTTTATGACTGAATAATATTCCATTGTATGAATATGCCATATTTTGTTTATTCATCAATTGATGGACGTTAGGGTGGTTTCCACTTTTTGGCGACGATGCTGTTTTGAGCATGCACATACAAGTTCTTGTGGAGACATGTGTTTTCACTCCTCTGGGATGTAGAATGCTGGCTCATATGGTGATACCGTGTTTAACCTTTTGGGAGAACTGCCAGATTGTTTTCCAAAAAGCAGCTGTACCATTTTACACAATGATGTTTTAATTGACATGCTTAACAGTAGGATTTAGAAAACAAGGTAAAGATGAAAAAGAAGTGGCCTTCTGAGGGGGAGGTAGGCTCCCTGCAGGGGGCTGGGGGGTGCGGGAGGTGGGAGGGCTGTTTTAATCCACTGGTTGGCTGTGAAGCTTGAGGGGATGGACAGAGGACCCATCAGCTCTGGACCCTGCATGGGGTGCCCAGCTGAAGGAGCTAGCTGAGATTCAGCTGTGCTCCCCTCACCAGTTGCACGCAGACAGCTGTGTGCAGCCGGAGGGGGTGCCTGTTACTGATTCCACGAGGCGAAGTGGGGGCTGGTTCACTGCAGTGGGTCAGCTCTGCAGTCAGTGAGCAGTGAGGGATGATGGTCCCTGGTTTACAGAAGCACAGCTTGGGCCTCAGGGAGAAGGGACCACCATATTCAAGAAGTACGTGGGGCACCTGGTTTTTTACTCCAGACCAGAGAGGTGCAAGAGTCAGGGCACAACCAGCCGCAGCTCAGGGCTGAGCTGCCCCTCTGTGGAGGGGGTGTGTATGGCGTTCCTGTCTGACCGCTTTCTCTGTCCCCCCCAGCCCCAGGCCATTTACTGCAAGGATGTTCTGGACATCGAACAGTTCTCCACAGTTAAGGGTGTAGAGCTGGAGGCCACTGACCAGGACTTCTACCAGAAATTTGCCACGGGCAGCGTGCCCATCCCCTGGCAGAATGAGGTGGGGCCCTGCCCAGCTGGTGGGGTGGGCTCCAGAGGGACGGCACTGGGGCTGTGCTCACAGCCGCTGTTCTGTGGCAGATGGTAGAGACCGAGTGCTTCCAGGAGCTGAATGTCTTTGCGCTAGATGGTTCGGTTACCCCAGACCTGGACTGGAAGGGCCAGCCGCCTGCGCCCCCCAAGAAGGGATTGCTGCAGAGGCTCTTCAGTCGCCAGGTAAGCCCCAGCAGTGTCCTCCCTGGGCCCCCAGCCTGGCTCCAGGGGACGGTGGGTGGGAGGCAGAGCCGGTGCCCGCATGCGCGGGGAGTGGGCATCCTCCAGCCGTGTCAGCGGTGCCCAGGGTCTCTGGCCTCATTCCCGCCTGTCCCCCACCCATGGCTGGGCTCACAGCCTCTTTTCTCTTTCCAGAGGTGAGCAGTGTGGGCTCCCCGTGGGTTGGCCTTGCTGCCCGGCCTCGGGGAGCCACAGGCAGCCCTTCCATGGCAGAGGCAAGATGTGGGCGAAAGAAGTCTGGTGCCCGCTCCCCATTTCCCCCTCCCCACCGCTTCCATTCCCTGCACCCTGGCACCTGCAAGCTGCTAGCCTTGCTTAGCTGTCTGTCTCCCCATGCTCTGCCTCCACCAGCCCCAGGGAGAAGGCCTTGGCAGAGCCTGGGATCCACCTTGTCCCCCTTACTTCAGCCTGTTGCCAGCAGCCTCTGCACCGATGTCCACACATGTCTGGCCTGAGCTGTTGCTCCAGGCCCCTCGTGGGGAGCCCCCTCCTCAGAGCATGGCCCCGGGCGGCTCCTGGTCTCCCCAGTGACGGCCGTGGTGGCTAACGGCGCCCGCTCTGCCTCTCTCCCTCCGTGTCTTCCCTGCCCTCCAGGACTGCTGTGGGAACTGCAGCGACAGTGACGAAGAGCTTCCCGCCCGCCTCGAGCTCCCCACCCGCCTCTAGCCCCCAGCCCGAGGCACCCCCGGGCAGCTGGCGGTAGCAGCTACTCCGAGCGCTGTTTACAGTTTTGCACAGTGGTCTTCCCCCTTGTCCACTCGAGTCGTGGTCTGGGGAACACAGCCGGAGCTGTCCCTGGTGCCCTCTGCCCTTCAGCCCCTAGTCTGGCTGAGTTTGGCAAGGCCTGGGCTGTCCCTGGGACAAAGGTGCGTCCCTTCAGCTCTTGTCTGTGGAGCTCGGGGCTTTCTGTATTTATGTCTTTGTACGAATGTATATAGCAACCAGAGCGTTCTTAAGACCTACCCTGGAGCCGGCAGAGGGGCTGCTGCCAAACTCCAGGCTCCTAAGGCCCGGCCCGGATGGGTGAGGCTGGGCCGGGCCAGGGTCCTGAGCCCCGAGCACTGTGCTTGCCACCGCCGACCTCCGAGTAAGACTCATGCCTGCCCCTGCCGCCCTGGGCTCGGGCCGCCATGTCTGGGGCCCAGTGCTGTCCCTTCTCAGCACTGGTCAGAGCTGGATCTGGGGCCTCAGTGTCCCCTAGGCCTGTGCCAAAGTGTGACCAGAGATTGGGCTGACCCTGGGACCCCTCAGTCCACTGCCCAGGCTGTCCCAGAGGGGTCTGCCTCTGCCTTCCAGCTTCCAGGGCACCTTGTCCCTCATGCTGGGCCCCGTTCCTGAAGACACCTCTTGCAGAAACACCCCAGCCCAGGCCATAGGAAGGGTGGGGGCAGGGGTGTCCCTGGTCAACCCTCAAACATTCCAGACTCCCCTCATAACAACAGACACATGTGCCCAGCAATAATCCGCCCCTCCCTGTGTGTGCCTGTGGTGTGTGTGTGTGTGTGTGTGTGTGTGAGTGTGTGTGGTGTGTGAAGGGGGTAGGCTGAGGCTGTGTGCCTGTACCCGAGGCCCCAGCCCTGGCCCTTCCCAGACTGTGATGGCCATCCTGGTCCCAGTGTTAGGGTAGCTCGGGAATACAGGGCCCCAGTTTTTCCATATTTAAAGCCAATTTTTATTACTCATTTTGTCCAATGTAAGCTGCCACGTGTCTCTATGTGAATACAGTCTGAGCACAAACCTGGCCAGCTGCCCCTGCCTGCCTCTTTCTTGCCCCTGGTGGTCCAGGGGTCTTCCTGCTCCCCTGGCCCTGCTGAAAGTGGGGAGGGGCTGGAAGTGGGGGTGGTGAGGGCTGCCCTTCCAGCAAGGCCCTTCCCTGTCCCTCCAAGACCGCTGTGGGTAGTCTTGTGGTAGCCTCGCCAGGCAGCCAGGCTTTGATGGCCTTTGGGCCCTCCAGCTTCCTCAGGGGGGATGAGACCTGAGGGAAGAAGTCTTGGGTCTCCACTAGGGTGTGGGTCTGGCTCTGCCTGTGCTGGAGAGGCAGGCTCAGCTGGCAGTGTTTCCTCCAAAGCCAAGGTGGCCTGGCCGCTAGTTGTGGGTTTAGAGCAGCCTGAGGTGTGAGGTGGGAGCTGCTGTTAGAAACACCCGCCCAGTTTGTCTTACCTGGACACCTGCTGTGTGATTTGCCCAGGGCCAGTGCACATGTGTTAGAACCATTCATCTGCTCTGCCTTTGAAGCAGGAAATGTGGCTGGACAGACAGTGGTGATGCTGGGAGTCAGGCTGTGGCAGAGGTGGGTGGAGACCAGCCATGTGAGCATCAGGGAGGATTCTCTGAGGGTAGCAGTTGAGCCAGGCCTTGAAGGAGACAGTCACCCAGGGGACAAAGGAATTGGGGAGCATTCCACCTGTGCAAAGACTTGGGGGTGACAACCTGTTGACCACAATTCTGTCCCAGACTTCACGAACCTGTCCCTGGTCCATAGCCTCCCAATGGCTCTAGTCCCCCAGTGATGCCCTGTAGCCACCATAAAGGTTTGTTCCTTGCCTCTGGGTGGGGCACCCCGTACCACAGAGGCCACATGAGCTTTGTAGTTGGGCAGTTTTGGGTTTCAAGTCCCAACCTGGCCACTTGTCAAGCTGGCTTTGCATAGGCCCTTCCTCTCTGGAAAAATGGGTGTGTTACCCATTGTTTCACAGGGTGACTACGAGAATCCACTTAAGCAGCCAGTCACCCCCTTGAGCCCCTGGGTCACTGTCAGGACTCTTGCCTGCTGGGAGAGTGGGTGCTGGGTCCCAGGCTGATGGCTATCTCAGGGGCAGCAGGAAGGTTCCAAGCAGCAACTTAACAGAAGGGGCTGTGATGGCAGCCCAGCTCGTGATGGTCTGGGGAGCATGCGCTGCTGTTTCTATTAACTTGAGGCAAGAAGGGTAGGGAGAGGGCCTTGCCTGAGGTCTTCCAGCTGGTGATTGGCCATTGCAGGGTGGAGAGGAAGCCAGTTGAAGATGAAGCTTGGAGCCTGAGTTGCTCCAGGCTCTGTTGCAGGGGCCGGGGAAGGTAGGTAGGTCTTCGCATGCAGAGACCACAGCCCAGTGCAGGGCAGGCATGTGAGGATGAGTGCCAGGCAGATAGGTGGGTCCAGACTCCCCTTGGGCTAAAGAGACACCCAGGGAACTTCGTGGCTAGGGTTCAGACCTACCTTAAAGTTCTTACCACAGTGAGTCCTTGACAGCAGAAACTTCCAGAATTCACTTCCCAAAAAGCCAAGCTCACCTCCTCCCCAACCAGCTCTCTGGTGGGAGCTGGGAACCCAGGTGGAGATGAGGCCCCTGCCAGTTTGGAGCTGAGTCCGGTAGGCAAACAGACATGGGAACAGTAGGACCCAATGTGATCAGCACCATGGTAGTGACGATTCTAGAGCTGGTGGGGCTGGGACTGCGACAGGACTGGGGCTGGGGCCAATACCAAGCAGGGGACGCCCATTGCCACAAAGTTGTCAAGAGCTGGTACCCTCAAAACACAGAACCAGATGCTCCCAGGTAGAGGAGTGAGGAGCCAGATGGATGGTCCTGGGCCTCTAGGGGTTTGGGATGGCTGTACGTCGGGTAGAGGTGGAAGAAAGGAGTGGCTGGAGCCAAAGTCAGTGAGACTCAGCCACACCAGGCTTTGAAAGCTGTGTTCAGATGTGGGGACTCATGTGGAAGGTGACTTTCCAAAGGATTTTAGGTGGCTGTGTCAGGATGTCTACCAAGCATGTACAAAAGGACCCCATGTTTCCTTTGGGTAAACTCCTCTGTCAGTCCTTGTGGTTTAAATGGGGCTGGACTAGCACCCCCTGCATATACATACACTAGAGCATGACCCAGATGGCACTGTTAGGGATCTTTGGTTGCAAGTGACACAGCTGTCCTATAGCTACCTTAGAAAGTGTTAACAGGATATGGAGGAGCCAACAGACAGGACAAATCAGAACTGGGACAGCTTTGGGGTCACAGTTGCAGACCCCATTCTTACCAGGGCACAACCCCCTGGAGCAAGATGCTACAGCTATGTTTATGTCTGCATCATTGAGCCTAGCTCTGAACCCAAACCAGGCTGGGAACCTGCTCAGTGTGCATTGGAAGAGCAGGGCACTTGGGTTCACAGGCCCACTCATGGCACCCACAAGGTGCATTGAGTTTCCCTAGTGAAAGCAGGGTGCTCATACCCAAAGAAAAAGGAATGGATATGGGTGGCTGAACACATATCCCCTCCCCTATACCTGCATCACTCAACCGAAATGAATCCAAAAAGCCCACGTGGGTTGCTAGAACTATTAGGGAAGAACTAGGGTTCTCAGTTCCTCTGGGGATCGGTGGCAGGG